GCAAAAAATTTTATTTTGTTCTAGCTCAATCCTAACATATATTTAATTTAAATAATCTAGTCAAAAGAGTTTTGTCATAGAGTTTATATAATAACTTTTCTACTGATAATCTATGTACTTTAATTTATTGAATTTTCAAAAAATAAATTAAAACTAATTGTTTTAAATGATAATTTCGATTGATGTGTTTTAGAAATTGTTTGAAAAAACTCGTATCAGCTATCAGTAAGATATTCTTCAAAGTCCCACAAAATCTTATATTCACCAAAACATCACATATTAGATCAGTTAAAGACAGGAATACTAGAGAATAATCAGAATGAGAGCACAGGAAGAAGTGGAAAGAGTAGAGAAAGGGAGTTTGAAGGAGAGGACAGGTAGGTTTGGTAGACAGACAGATGAGAGACAAGACTCAAAGTGATACCTCTCTTAAGACATCAAAGAGAGACAGATCTGAAGACAGAGACAGAGGTGATATCAAGAGAGCCGTTCACTTCAATAGTCAGACACGTTTTCCTGATGAAGAGCTCACGGATTTGGAGACCAGTTGTCGTGTGGAAGACATACCACAGAGTGTCAGCTCTTCTCGAGACCCACTTCTGGTCGAAGGGATGATCGGCGGACCTACTCTTCAATCAGACGACACACTCAACGAACAGACGAACGGTCGATATCCTCAAGAGTACAGTCAATCGCACCAGAGGTTCATCAGAGATGGTAAGGGGCCGGGAGTTAACCTTCAGTCTCAGGAGTCATCGTTGGACTGTTGGCCGTGTTTTTCGCCGCATTACTGAGTATTAAGGCGTTTCTTGGAGTGGGAGTCAAGAGTGGGACGACACCGCATCTCAAGAGTCGTACGACTGCAACAACTCTATGGCGGACAACAGTTCCAGTTCTTACGACTCAGTTCGAGATATAGAGGAATCAGACACTGAATCGATGGCTGAGTGGAGCCCTTCAGTGATGACTTCCACTCCCAATGTATACTCGGATGCCATCCAAAGCCGACAGTCGATTCCTAAGAGGAGTCATACCCTATATGGACAGCCGTTGCCGTCGAGACAACTGATGCAACGCATTGAGGTCGAGCCTCCGATCCTTCCCGACGGCACTCATAATAATCAAGAGAGCAATACAGGCGACAGACAGGAGAACACCGACAGTGAGGACACGCGTGAAGTGGAAGAACCGACGAAAGGAGAGGTGTGAAGGGAGAGAGTGTTGACCCCATTGTTCACTATAGGAGTCATCGTTGGACTGTTGGCCGTGTTTTTCGCCGCATTACTGAGTATTAAGGCGTTTGTGTTCATACGGCACGACATACTCCGACTCAAAGCACACACCGTTGGCCTCACAGATGGACTCATTGTATGGTTTCTATTCTCCAAAGTCTGGCCATTGATCGCACCGACAGTTCAGAGACAGTGGACAGCCATTCGCAAAAAGACAACTAAACTGTTGTCTTCTGATATCGACAGTGAGTCTCAAAGTAATGACAGGAAAGACACCAAAACTGGTGATCGCATACAGACAGAGACAGACATCACGACAGCAACAGATCCGGTGGACAGCAATGAGGAGACGAATAGCTTTACGCCGACGAGAGAAGACATGTTTTAGTAGTTCACACGTATATAGAGATCGTCTCATTAGCCCTAAGGGTAAGGGTTGGCGCCGGACCTCAAGTGACTACTTATATAAACGTGTGTTGAGAAGGACTGCACAACTCGGGTGTCTGTCCACTGATTATAACTCACAACGACTGCTGTTTGAGTTGTTGAAGAGGAGGACAGGGATGGCTGCAAATAGCGATGAATTGTGTCTTCAAATCGCTGCTCGTCTCGAGATTTTCATACAAACTATGTATGGCTGGGAGTTGTGTGTCAAACCACAGCACCTGCATCTCGCTCACTTAGTCCGGTATGAATCCTATTCAATACGTTATAATTGTGATTATGAGCCACCGGTCCAATCAATATATGTATGCTTTTAGGGAATACAAGCGCCGTATGAATGAGTTGAATGCAAACTGGTTTGGAAGGACTATAGCCCACCGTTTGTGGGACACTGTCCTCCTGGGGCTCACGAGAATGCGGTGGGCTTTGGGACGATTGGTGGCCTCTGAGGCCGCAGTAGGCGCCCATCGAAGCCTCCTGACCCGGAACCTATCAAATGAAAAGTTTGAGTTGTATTTGTTGTGCGCCTCCCTTAATAAAAAGCCATATAAACAGTGAGTGTATACTTGTTTGAGATGACCCTGGTCACTATCACCACCATTTGTCCGTTAATTTGTAGTCCAGTGCTGCCACAGCTCATGGAGTTGTTGAACGATATGGAAATGGATCCCAAGCTAACTGTATTGAAAGCCAATTTACATCCCGATGACACCCCTTACACGACATCCCACGAGAGCGAGTCGAGCGGTGCGTCTGGACGTGTCGTTCCCCACGACCACAAACCACTGAACGAGAGTGGGATCGACGACTTGACCATCACTTCCAGGGATCAAGTATCACTTATACCGCATTTGAGTGGACGTACTTTTTGGATACCCCACACACCCCTGACACCTCCCATACCACCTAGACCCCATTTTGACCACCGGTTTTTTATTTATGAACTTTTAGTTTTAATTTTTTGGAATGTACCAACCCGGTACTACTTTATTTCCCATTGGATTTACATTATGGAAATTACGTAATATTTAAAGTTTTTATAAAATATTTCACAGTTTGCACCTTAGTATTTATTAATAGCATAGATCATAAGATAGAGTTTAGTCAATGGACGTGATCATGGGAACTACCGGTTTTCGATATAATCGATCTCGAAGTTAAAGCCATATAAACAGTGAGTGTATACTTGTTTGAGATGACCCTGGTCACTATCACCACCATTTGTCCGTTAATTCGTAGTCCAGTGCTGCCAAAGCTCATGGAGTTGCTGCACGACATGGAAATGGATACCAAGCTAACTGTATTGAAAGGCTTTTATGAACACAGATAAATGGAGTGGAGCCGTATGCTGTCAGCTCATCCATGATTTGTGCACAGGTATGTCGCATTCATTTACTAATTATCTACACTTTATGATCAGAGACTTACAATTATTATATGAATAGGTATGAGATATCTTCACAACGAGAATATCATTCACGCGGACATCCATTTAGGAAATGCATTGGTATTTACAGATCCAGAA